GACAAATATCCAAAATCAGTTCAGTAACGGTTTTCAAGGGGACAATATGTACTCAAATTGATGGGTTTGGATGATGGGGGAAACCCGTGTCACAGGCTCTTTAATCTTTATCAGTAAACCGATTTAACCGTAAAAGTTCCTTCAAAATAAGAGTCCCGATCTTATTACTATCAAAATAAAAGTGCAAAACGAAAACTTTACCATAGGAAAATATTGGCATACAAATATAATCCCTTCTCTAAAAGTTAACTCATTTTAAATATAGTTGGACATATTAAAGGTCATTAATAATAGTAATATTAGTAATAAGCTTTATATTTGTATAGCACCTATTACAATAATTGTAGCCAAACTGGCTTCACAGCAGTTCAATAGACAGATTAGTATAACATGACAGGATAAAAGCAATGTAGAGGAGCAGCTACATTTCAACACATATATCCACGAAGGTTAATACATGAAGACTTTTGACTCGGACTCGGACACAGGTAATGATGACTCGGACTCGACTCGGACACTCCTTGGGTGACTCGGACTTGTGACTCGGACTCGAACACAGGTAAAATGACTCGGACTCGACTACGACTTGGTGACTCGGACTTGGACTCGGACACAGGTAATGATGACTCGGACTCGACTACGACTTGGTGACTCGGACTTGGACTCGGACTCGAAGAGTGGTGACTCAAGAGTGACTTGGACTCGTGAATTGGTGACTTGACTACAACACTGTGTCAAAGTGACATGATGTGTATGCTCATCCAAGATTTTTCTTTGCTACTAAAAGAGGACATTCACAATGCGTGAGTACAGGTTGATTTGAAGGAAAACTTTCTTCTTTCAATAAAAGCCCAGTGCTTTCTTACTCTGGTTCGGACAGTCTTCTAACCTGGGACCTGGTTAGTTACTGTAGTCGGTTCCCCCTCCACTCAGTTAGCTGCTCCGATCTGTGGGTAAATGTAACTTTAGGCCTGTTGTATTTTTGTGCTATCTGACCCCACAGACGATCACACCAGAGTCCGACTGCAGCTGCTGGAAGGAGACCCCCACTCTGACTACATCAACGCCAATTACATTGACGTGAGTGGTTACACACAGACACACATGTACAGACACATCTGTACATCAATGCTTTTGAGAACCAGGAACTCTAACCAAAGAGTAACACTACGCTTACCTTATTCTAACATGAACCCAAAAACCAAGTGACCTCCAAAAGTCCTCGATTTTCAATCCGTCTTCACTTTGGACGTCTTAAGCTAATTGGTCTTCACAAAGATGGAAATACATATGCACACATTCTCACATGCAGTAGTTGAAAGTGAAGCTATTTGTATCGGAGACATACACAGAAACAATTATTAAAACAAATCCCTTCAACAGACAATTTGTGCCCATAATGCTCTCTGTACCTTCAAACCCTTGTATACATATTCTTAAAAATAAAAGCAGTAGAGAATGCACATGCAAAATCATTTTCATGAATGAAAACTCCCTACAGTGTGGGCTGTGTTTTGTAAATACATGGTTGAACAGGGTAGTACCCAATAACGCAGCCACATATTACTCAATCAAGCTTTAATCAAATGTTATTTATGTAGCCCAATATCACAAATTACACATTTGCCTTAGGGGGCTTTATGGTGTGTACAGCATACTATACGACACCCTTTGTCCTTAGACCGCCTGCACATACAAGCAAAACACTAATGGGGAAATAATGAAAGATACCTCGGGATAGACAGACGTGCAATAGATGTTTTGTGTATTCTTTAAAAAAGTGATACATGTACAACAAGGAAAATCCAAATGTCAAAAATGGTGATTTGAATGTATATAGAAAAGGAAAAAAATATGGATCTGGGTGGATCTCAACAATCTCTCCTGTGCCGACAAAAACTTAATAATAAGATGGGCTTCAGATTCTCTAAAATGCAATAAAGCAACATGGACTCCAACATATAGACAACATTCTTTCCACAGAGAAGTGCACGCACACAAGCAAAGGCCGTGAAAACGAAAGGACCCCACCCATTTAAAAAATGAAATATGGATGCAGGGAAAGTCATCAGGACTTAAATTGTATTGTATTCTGCTTTCCTCCCATTCAGCCCCCCCCCCTTTAATAAATGTTCTCTCCTCCCTTATTCAGTTCCATCTGTCCCTTACCTTCCCACTGTTTTCCCTCTTGTCCCCCCCCCCTCCCCATCTCTCTTTGCCCTTTGAGCATTGTGCTCCACTTATCAATTGAATGTCCCTCTAACAGTGAACTGTTTTAAACCGGTACATAATGCTGATTTTAGATCAGTCTCCACAGACACCATTTATTTCTTAAGAAAAGAAAGAGCGGGGGGTATTGAACAATTGTAACTCGAAACAATATGTTCCCTCTTTGCAGATATCTATAACGTGGTCGTAATGACAATATGAACGTGATAAATGTTTTCATCTCAACAAGGTTATCAGTCTCATGGGGGGGGAGGGCTGTGCAGGGACAAGAGGGAGTCACTTTTAATCTCTCCTCTATTATTTAATTTGATGTTTATTCGGAAAACGACCTTGAGTTATGCTTCTCTGAGGATTGAAGTGTCTGGAGAGGGAGACGGGATAAATGAAAACATGGGAGGAGACGACAGAACAGAGGAGCGAGGAGAAGAAGAATACAATGATAAAAAGCCAGGTTGAGAAATGGAGGATGGAAGTAGACAGAAACTGATTGAGAAGCAGAGGACAAGGAAAAAGAGTAAAGGAGGTGGATGATTTAAAAAGAATAAATAGTAAGCAACCATTTCACCAGGACAGTAAATAAATAAAACAATGATAGAAAAGTGAGGAAAAGATGGATTTTGATGAGTAAGAGAAGCTGGCAAAGAGATCAACACAACAGTTTAGAAGACAAATAGTACAAAGAAAGATGTGAGGAGTGTTAGACAAGCTGATAGTGAAGTGAGAAGGTGATGTAATGAATAAGCAAGAATTTACAATGTTGATTTAAATTGCAATTTTAGTACTTCACCCATCTGGGAATATACAGAGAAAGGATAGCCTGCGGAGAAAAATGAAAGCGGGACAGAAGACACAAATTAAATATAGAGGCTACATTAAAGACACTAAATAGACAAGAGCAATATAAGAAACAGTAAACTGACATGGTGTATGTGCGTATAGTGCATCCACATGTAGAAATATGGGAAGAAAAATATGGAGATGACGTAAATATGGAGAGTTTTTTATTTTATGGTTTTCTTTTTTATCTGTCTCACAGGGCTACCACAGACCCAGACATTACATCGCCACACAAGGTAATTAAACTGACGTAATGTGTGTGTGTGAGAGGAGACTGTATGTGTGATTTGTTGTGTGTGTGTGTGTGTGTGTGTGTGTGTGTGTGTGTGTGTGTGTGTGTGTGTGTGTGTGTGTGTGGCAGCCACCTGGTAAATGTCGTCCTCTCGGTTGTGGAGGCTATTACCGCGACCTCCTAAATCTAAACCGCCGTATAAAATCCCCCTGGCAAATGTAAGACCCCATTACCTCAAACCCCGGAACCACTATCTGGGATTGATAGTGTGTGAGTGCATGTGTGTGTGCATGTGTGCTTTTTCTGTTCATGTGTGTGTTTGTTTAAGTCTGTGCTATCAGTGCTGACTTATTTGTACGTGATGAGTGTGTTTATACATAAATACTGTACATATGCATGTGTCTGTTGGTGTGTGTGTCGTTATGCATATATATCTAACTCGTGTGTGTGTGTGTGTGTGTGTGTGTGTGTGTGTGTGTGTGTGTGTGTGTGTGTGTGTGTGTGTGTGTGTGTGTGTGTGTGTGTGTGTGTGTGTGTGTGTGTCAGGGCCCATGCAGGAGACGGTGAGGGATTTCTGGAGGATGGTCTGGCAGGAGAACTCAGCCTCTATCGTCATGGTTACCAACCTGGTTGAGGTGGGCAGGGTGAGTTTGTCATCCGAGTTATTATTTTACAAAATATGTGTTAATGTGTTTGATGAAGAGGCCAAATAGAGTGACGCAGTGATGACCAATGTTTGTCGGCCAATTTGGAAGTAAGCATCACAAGGTCTACCTCGATGAAAAGCTCATGGGATTTTTCCATTGGGTGTTTCAGTGGTACTGCTCTCAACAATCTCTCTCATTGGGTGATCATGACTGGCTTGTTTCACTACATTGTATGAATGTTAATATGTGTTTTCCAGGTGAAGTGTGTGCGTTACTGGCCGGATGAGACAGAGGTTTATGGAGACATCAAGGTGACCCTGATAGAAACTGAACCGCTGGCTGAGTACGTCATAAGGACATTCACCGTCCAAAAGGTAAACTATGGAATATCTTCAATAGTAAAACTAACAATATGACTTATAAAATAGGGATATTCACTCCCAAAAAGCATCATAAATGGTAAATAAATAAATGTTTTTTTTACATTCGTGGCATTGCAAAATATCACCTCTAGCAGAAGTTAAACTAGTACAGAAGAGGATTAGGGCCACGTGATTTTTCTTTCATCCCAGACTTAATTCAGAATTATGAAATAAAATGTTTGAGAATTAAGTCAGAATTCTAAGATTTCAAGAAAGTCACATTTCACAATACAAGTCACATTTTGCTTTTCAGAATTCTAACTTTAATCTCAGAATTGAGAAAAAAAGGATTCACTTTTGGTCGGGTCTCAAAAGAAAAATTCCCACACGGCCCTTATCCTCCTCCATAAATAAGCAAATGGGATTTCAAATATTTACCTTTTCTGTTATCACAAAATGATGCAGCTGTTGATATATATTATTGACAAAGTATTTCAACAAGGTTGCCTTATGTTAAATCAACATATTATGAGTCTAGTTTTCAGAACATTTCAAACCCAACAAACCCTGTCATGTTCTCTTTGCTGTTAAATGACCCTCCTTATCTTCTTTCTGAACCCCAAACTTGGATTCATATATTATAATATATGATTGGAAGCAAGAAAGAAGTTCTCCTTGTTTGTTTCTCACTGTTTGAGAAAATGTTGGAAAGCTAAATCGGTGCCATTATAAGGTAGGAGGGATTGATGCTTGCATAAACACACTTGACAATGAGAGAAAAAATCTAATCTTTGATTGTACAACCATACTTTGTTTACATCTTCTGCTGTGTCACGTCCCCTCTTTTTCAAGTTACTGAATATCTCTGTTTTTTTTGTACTGCTTTTTCTATTTGGCTAATATATTTCACTTTGCTTTCATGCATATATCTTTCGTACTGGTTTGTACCACTCTGAACCGTAGATGTATCAAAAATACATTGACAGTTAGCAGTCATACTTCACCAAAAAAAAAAAGAATTATTCAAATGGGATTATTATCAGACACTTTAAAAAACTAAAATATTCTCTGCCTGCTGCCGGTGTCATTTTCTCACATTCTCCATATACCTCTTTTTTCCCTATCCTGTATTTCCTTCCCCCTTCACTCGTGCGAAAGCAGCTTATGAAGACGAGTTTTCAAGTTCTCGCTGTCAGCTCGTTTAGCAAGCCATTAATCCATACCACCTCTGAGCGTGTGTGTGTGTGCGCGTGCGTGCGTGTGTGCACAACTACTTTAAAATTCAAAGGAAAGCTGACTTTGAAATGCCTGTCATTTTGCAGAATGCATTAATACGTACAAACACACACCAGAGGCACACACTCAGAGTACACAATTCTCCATCTTGAAACTACAGTAGGTTTTGTGAGTGAGTGAGTGAGTGAGTTAGTGAGTGTGAGTGAGTGTGGAGAACAAAGAGAAAGCAATACAAAGGGGGCTGAGAGAGAGAGAGAGAGAGAGAGAGAGAGAGAGAGAGAGAGAGAGAGAGAGAGAGAGAGAGAGAGAGAGAATACAGGTTCTGCACCACAGTTAAATGGCTTTAATTGCAGTGAGTAATAACAGGGTCTTAATGAAAAGCTTTATTAATGGCACGTCCGAGGAGATTAACCAAGGGTGGCAGAGAGAGACTCGAACAAAAGGAAAAATCTGCGTACAAGCATGTTTGACAGAAGGAAAATGAAGAAAAAAAGAGAGACAAAAAGAGAGATAGGCAAGATTTAAAGAACTATATGGTTGAGAATCAGTCAAACAGTAGGTGAGTGAACAAGGTCGTAATTATATTGATGTTTAAAAAAAAGATATACTGTATTACTGAAAGGGGCCCTATTATGATCCTCATTCATATTTGTATTTAGTGGCTCTCCTGTGCTTTAATGTTCAAAAAGTGCTTTGTTTTCCTCATACTGGCTCTGCAGACCCCCTATCCACCCTGAAACGTTGGGATGTTAGCCTTTGCAGACCATTTACTTGACCACAAACCATATAACACACTACAGGAAAGGGAAACCACCAAAAAGTGGATGGCATCATGGAGGTGGAGAAGAAGCTGTAGCAAATATGCAAATGAGGCACATTGTAAAGCAATTTGTCCATTAGTTAAAACATTTGTAACTAGAAAGTGCTATATATTTGCACCCATTTATCTACTGACATTAGATCAGAGGTAAAACATTACAAAATCTAATGGATTATCCTGATTGAATCAAGGTCTGGTCACCCTGTTAAGGCCTTTTTCTAAATGTGTAAATATGGTCTATGGCACTCAGAACGGAGAAACCAAACAATTGTGTGCCACAGCGGAGACCAAACTGAGCTGGACCCAGCAGTGGGCACAAAGCTACCAGCAAACAATCACAGCTTGAGGACTAGCACACACGCGAATTGGGCAGATGGTTTGAGAGATGTATAAAACAGGCTGTTTATGTCAAACTGGAGGAACGCTCCCTGAAGTCTGTGAAACAACATTTGTCTGTCACAATGCCTAAAACCCCAAACACATCCCTGACCATGTTCACTTGGGATTGAAAAATGGGACCTCCTGTCTTAATTGAACTTGAGTTTCCAGTTTGAGTTGATCCACTGGTGGGCGTAATGGCTTCCTTTATTATTTTCCACAAATCTCTAAAACATCTTCAATCAAAGATCCAGTCCAGTCATTTGGATTAGATTTTGATTGATTGGAGTTTCTCAGATAAATTGTTCTAAAGGACTTTACAGCCAGCTGATATCCAGAGAGGTGTTAGGCGTCTAGATGAGTTGGAGACAAAATAACTGTGATACTTTGCTGAAAGGATAAGTTAGCAGTGTTTAGCAGGTTTTTTCTTTCCACTAGGTCCCTTTAGTTCTATCTCACACAGGCTCCGCCCTCTACTGGACTCTATGGGTCCTACTTTCATCAATGATATGCGAGCGTTCACACACTGAAGTTGTATAAACGTAGCCGGCCAATCAGGGCGAGCCTACCTGAATTCGTGCGCAGCTCACAGTATATAATACCCTGACTGTCATCCTTTTCTCTTCAGCGAGCAGGCCAACACTTGACAGAAAAAGTAAAACGTTTGAAAGAAGGGTGTACGCCCCATCGAGAAGGAGGGCAGGCTACGTGCCCCTCTGTCAGAAGACAGACAGACGTGGTGCGATGAAGGGAGTCTAGAGCCTCTGTCCGGTACATTGGGCTCTATTCTATCCTGGCTATAGCTACTGGTGGACGCGGGGCTTGCTCATGTCACAGTCAATGTGTATGCAGCAGCCATCTCGTCCTGTCATGCGGGATTTGGCGGCAGACCAGTCTTCAGCCAACCGCTTATGAGGCGTTTTTTGCAGGGGATCAGGAGACAGTGCCCAGTGGTGCATGTCTCCACCCCGCAATGGGAACTGCCATAAAATAATGGTGCTCGAGGCTTTGGTTACAGAACCGTTGAGCCTCTGGAGCTCTCCTCCCTGCAGGCGCTATCATTGAGAGAGAGAAGCAAAAAGAAACAGCTTTGCTGCTTGCTTTGACTTCTGCCAAGAGAGTATGCGAACTGACCGCTCTATCGGTGCACCCGAGTTGCCTTCTGGTTCGTGGTGACCGTAGCAGGGCGACACTCAGACCGAACCCCTCCTCTGTTCCCAAGAACCTAAGGAGTTCTTCCAGGTCGAGGGTTATACAGCTAGACGGCTTTAGTCGTCGACCTATGCACGGCGGCGTCTTGGTCTACGCCAGGCCTGTTCATAAGGTAAGTATCTCTTGGACATATCTGGCTCCTTTTTCATCGTCGATGCTTGCTGGGGCAACACAGGACTGGTGAAAGGAGCAGGGCTGTGGGTCAGTAAGCTGTAACCCTAGTTCAATAAGCACAGGCTGAGCCCTCTACCTAGGGGCCCTGTCTTTCCTATGCCGCTCGCTGAAGAGGGTGTAGGATGACAGCCAGGAGGCGTAGCCGCATTATATACTGTGAGCTGCACGCGCATTCAGGTATGCTCGCCCTGATTGGCCGACTACGTTTATACAACTTCAGTGTGTGAACGCTCGCGTATCATTGATGAGAGTAGTACCCATAGAGTCCAGTAGAGGGCTCCGCCTGTGCTTATAGAACTAGGGTTACAATACGTAACCCCCCGTTATGTCATCATCACATGTATTCTTCACTTTTCAAGGTTTTTAAATGCAATACTTTTTCATGTTCTATTCTTCATCTTCTGCATGATTTGGTTTCTTGGATTTATACCAAAGCTAGTCAAATAAAATGACAACTCATACACATACTGTTGCTAAAGAAATGCTTCACCAATGTCAGGGTGATCTTGTGGTTAATTATCCTCCACTGCTCCGAGGTTTTGGGTTCATCTCTCAGCGGAGAAGGAAGTCTTGCATTTTGTCAGAGTGACCTTGAGGAAGATGCTGAACTCCTCACTCGTTCTCACAAGTTGTTCCAGAAACTCAAGAGAATAAATACAATAAAACATTAAAACGCAGTGCATCTACAGCTCTGGAAAAAAATTAAGAGACCATTGTAGCTTTCATTTTCTGCAAATAAAATCTCTTAATGACAACATTTCTTTTTGGCATTTGGGAGAAATGTTGTCATTAGTTCATAGAATAAAACACAAGTGTTAATTTAACTTAAATAAATACTTGTAAATAGCACCAGAGAAACTGATCATTTTTAAATGGCTTTATATGCCTGGAACTCTTCTCATTTTGGTGAAAATCAACCAAAGATGTTTATTCCTGTATGTATGACATGAAGACACAAAGAAAAAACCTTATCTGCCATGACAAGAACATAAGAACCTGTAATAGAACTGGGGAAAATCTACCTCAAGCTCTTTTTAAAGCAAAAACTGTCATGTAGTTGTTATTTAGGAGCAGAGATGGGGTCGTTACTAAAAAAAAGTAATATATTACATTTTACATATTACTTAAAAAAAAAAAGTAATATATTACACTACTTCGTTACTCTCTACATAAAGTAACTCGTTACTTTGCT